ACCCACARCCAGTCCAGAAACACCAACCCGGACCCTCATGCCCTACACCATCTCGAGGGAAGAGGAACAACCGACGAGTTACGAGAGCATTCACTAGCTTGAAACGAACGAATGAACTGGAGATCGAGAAACGTCAGGAACGCTAAATAAGCCATAAAGGCTAGAACRAAGACGAACGCCAAGTGAGYGGCTATCAGTAACTCCATTCCRAATCGAARCTCCTAGTCGAATCTCRGTGGCGATGCGTATAGAAGAGCCTMGGACCACACATCATCCGACAACACTCACGGCAAGCATACGCAAACACAAACRACACGAAAAAGTTGAGAAAAACAGAGTGAGTAGCATCAGGTAGGCACACCARGACAAAACATGGGGGTGGGGGAGTACATTCGGGAAGGGGAAGGAAGAGAGAGAAGGTCCCAATTCGGTCGAGCGGCCCTGATGCACCGTTGAATGTAGAGAGGGTGATGGAACGCGCTCTCAAGTACTTTTCACCGACTTCCATCCCGTCGGATCTTCAGAGAACTAAACCTCTCTCATGTCAAACCAAAAGGGACAAGAACCCTGATCGGGCATGGCCCGGGTTCCAATAAGACAAAGAGATTTGTTATGAGTCATAAACGCGGCACACAGGGTGGCACAGCAGCGGAGGGAGGGGAGAGGGGGGAGGAGAGTGGGGGGAGGGGGGAGGGACAATCGAGTGCACGAAGCATTACCGCGCCCGGGGCCATGGTGCGCCGACGACCAATCACGTCACTCCCATGCTACACTCCTGGCACCGATGCTCCTCTACTCCCGGTGGCGCCCGATTAGGTAAGTAACCCAGCAGGGACTTTCGGTCGTGTCCCAAACTGAATACCACGAAGCAGCTCCTGAAGCGCTGATATGTCGAAGCAGCGCGCAACTGGATATGGAACGCGTGTACGCGATAACGGACCTCCTTTGAGACGCAAGAGTGTGCGCTCAATCAAAATAGTGATGGCGATCACAGACCACTCCGAGTAGAGAGCGGCATCACTGAACTAGGACCAGGAGGCCGTGGCCGGGGAAGCGATGAGGGGCATCGCCGTACCATACTGCCGGTGCTCAAAGTGGTACCAACCGGGTTGGGTACGCGAGGCCATATAGCGCATCGTCCGACGGGTCAGTGATGAGAGGAGGAATGAGAGGATCGGAGCGGTTAAATACCCGGAAGAAACGGGGCCGACCCTCACTTCATTCACAAGGTGCTGGAGGTAGGGGCACCGGCTGGCCACGGATGGGGCAACGATTAGGGGGCTGAAGGCCTACCGGTTCTCGCAGGGAGCCAACCTACGTTCCGCCGAAGGGTTCAAAACGAGTTCTCCTGGGACCCAAGGAACCCTGGCTAAAAAAACTTTTTAAGCTTTTTTAGGGAGGCAATTCACAAATATGCAAGGGGTATGTACAAGCGCGTTCATATATATGTGTGTATGTGTATGTGTGTGTGTGTGTGTGTGTGTGTGTGTGTGTGTGTGTGTGTGAGAGAGAGAGAGAGAGAGAGAGAGAGAGAGAGACAGAGACAGAGAGAAACGAAGTGGCTGCCATGCGCGTAGCCATAGAGGTGCGCTGAGAAGATCCAGCCTACTGGTAGGGGCATATGGAAATTGTTTTGCTGGTACTCAACAGCAATCCGGTAGGGGCATAATGCAAATTTTGAACCGGCATAACAAAAATATTTCAGGCCCAACCGACACCAGGGACCAGGGTTTTATTGGAAATTTAATGGTGGTCAGAGGGGCGCGACTGGGTAGATCTGCCTTGGGAGGGGCGCAACACAAAAAAATGGAAATTACAGGGGTAGATCTGCCTCGGTAGGGGCCGGACAAATTTCCCTTAGTTCTTTTCCTTTTCTTTTTAACTAATCTATATTCTTCTCTCCATCGTCTTTTTATATATTTTCCTCATATATTTTCCTCATCTATCTCATCCTGTGGCTCAACACCTGCTGGAAATCGGGTCCAGCGTCCCATAGATACAACCATATCCGCTCAATTTGGCACAAACTGGGAACCGGGCCCAGCGTCCCATCATCAGAAAATTCCATGAAAATAGACAAGGAACTACTAGAAAAATCCACACAGCAATTAGTGGAAGTCCTTCGAATGCTCAGAATCCCTGGAAGCCCCCCACAAAAAACACTCTAAATTCTCTACTACTGTCTTCCTCCCTGCCGAGCTCTCCCAGGCCTTATGCCCCCACCCTGTTAGGTTATAGGGCAACACGACTCACCCCAGCTCTGGCCAGCATCGTCCCGACAGCAACCCTTGGTTTTCCTGGAATGCCCGGCCCAAAGCATCCCCAAATCTCTCTACCAGGCCTCATGCTCCTGCTATTAACAGGTTACAGGGCAATCCCCCAGCACCGGCCAGCGTCGTTCTGGCATCGGAAAACCAATAAATCCATGAGTAAACAACATCAAGGAAACCTAGACTGCTTTGCAAGAAGTACCCAGGGTCCTAAAAAATTCTCCAGACTACCAAAAGTATCCAGAAACATTTCGAAATCGGCATAGAGATTAGGGCCAGATTAATAACTTTTTGAGGTGACTACAACAAAATTCAGAAATCGACTCAGAGGAACCCCCCATCACACCTCTACGCCTCCCTCCGGCAAGACTAACTGCAACAGAGCCACCATCTCTGCTGCTGTTGTACCATACTCCCATCCTACCAGCTAGCCACCTCACTGATAGGATGCGTGATATCCCACCATTTCCTTCTCCCACTCACCTTAAGGTAAGTAAGAACACATTACAGTAAAAAAGAACATAAGAATAGGCCGCAGGAGCCCTGCAATGATCCAGAAAAACGTTGAAGTCCCTCACGCACCCTTCCGAAGTCCCCCAAAACTGTCTTACTCCCTTCCGAGCTCTTCCAGGTCTCCCACCCCCACATCTCGCTGGGTTACAGGGCAACACGACTCACCCCAGCTCCGACCAGCGTCATCCAGGCAGTAACCCTTGGATGTCCCGTGGAATGCCCACCCCAAAGCATCCCCAGATCTCTCTACCAGGCCTCATGCTCCCGTGTTGAAGGTTACAGGGCAAATCCCCAGCACCGGCCAGCGTCGTTCTGGCATCGGACAACCGCAAATCA